TGCAAACTCGGGAAGTCATATCCCTTCGTGGGCAGCCTAATGAGGGGCTGGAAACCCCTTATTCCCTTTCACTGGGGACCCCAAAGCAGCCTTGTGCAGCAGGGGGAGGTCGCTGTGAATGACGTGGTGTCACAGTTTGCAGCTCTCCTTGGGGTCGTGGGATGTTAGCTGATTAGGCTCAGATCCCCAAAGGGATTTAGGCACCTGACACCTACCAAATGAACTCAAACAGGCACCCAAATCCCTGTGCAGATCCATTTTAGAAGTGCTTTGGGGTCCTTGGCGTCCTACGTGGGTCTCTTGACTCTAGCATCAGGTCTCCTGTAAGGGCTAAGTGCGATTCCCCTATTTCAAAACCTCTTCTCTTCCTAGGTGTTCCCCAAAAAGCTCGTGGCCTTTTCCACGTGGATCGACAGGACCCGCTGGGCCCGGAACACGTGGGCCATGTCCGCCATCTTCATCCTCACCATGGCCGACATCGTGGATATGGTGAGTGGCAAAAACCCAACCCTGCTCTCTGCCATGGCTTCTTGGGGGTGTCCACAAGCAGATCCCATTACTATCCCCAGAGGTGCCCAATGTCTCCTAGCACAGCCCTGATATATCTCTGTGCCTTGGGGTGTCATGACCTCCAGGCTGCACTTGATCAGCTGCACCTCCCTGTTGTGGGGCTGGCGTTTGACGGCTGCTCTGACCTCCCCGCTCTGGATATGCCGATAATTGCTCAGAGCACCGCACACAATGGGTAATTAAATACAGTCAATGGGTAATGATCGACCGTGACTAGATAGAGTTAGCAGCTCTGATCAGAGACCGGCATCCCAAAGTCCTGGCTCACTGAAGTCACTGTGATGGGCTGGATGAAGCCTGAGCACCTCGTTGTATGGTCTGGCATGGAGCAGTGCTGTCCTAAGATGCTCCAAGAGCCAGCGGTTCTTCCTAAGGTACCCAGATCTTTGCTTGGATGCAGCCCTCCGTGATGGGGCCGCTACCACCATGGCTGTGCCAGAGTCCCCTCGTGGAGATGCAATATATTGAGACAGAAGACTGGTCCCAGGAGGCCTTCTTCTGTCGGCATGGCAGTCTGTGCTGGAGGGTGTGATATTTTTCTGCACCCTTAGCAATACTGGCAAAGCTTTGCAGAGGAGATCAGGCTGGGGGAGATTAATAAGGAGCTACAGGATCTCCTGTAGCATCAGGGTTTCTTGCACATCTCGTCAAAACAGCTGGTGCTGGCCCTGTGCTACGGGACTGGACAGCTCCACCGTGCTGTTCCAGTCTGGGTAGAGATCTGACCCCGGGGGGAGGCTCTCACGCCTGTCTCTCTGCCCCCCAGCTCAGCTGCTTGCAGTACTACACTGGTCCCAGCAATGTCACGGTGACGACCCTGCTGGCGGGCGGCTGCGTGGAGAACCCCAAGTACTACACCTACATCGCCGTGCTGGCCCTCATCGCCACCATCATGCTGGTGCAGGTCAGCCACATGGTCAAGCTGACCCTGATGGTCATGATCACCAGTGCTGTGGGCGTTGTCAACATCTATGCCTGGGCACAGATCTTCGACGAGTACGACCAGCACCGCTTCAAGGACTACGTGTAAGGGTGCCAGGGATGGCGCGGGGGGTCTGCCCCAGACCAGCGCGGGGTTCCTCTCTGGGTGTCCCCACTGAGACTGTGCCACAACCCCCACGGTCCTGACCTTGCATGGATCTTGGATTTTGAAAAGCGGGGTGCAGAGGGTGAGGTCCATCGTCACGTAGAGCACAGCACCTATTTGTCCCGTTTTAAAAATAAACTAGAAGCCTTACTAATAGGCTGGGGGTGTAGGGCTGGATTATGCACTTTAGGACTGAAGCAAAAACAAATGCAACTGCATTGGAACGAGTTGAAAACCATCTGCTGGGCTGTGAAACAGGAGCTTCGTGACCAGGAGCAGCCAGCAGGCAGCAGCAGGGCAGAATAAAGGGTAGCTGGATTGCTGGAACATGGAGACCATTATAAAAGGAGAGATGGTCGTTAACACCAGTGAAACGAAGCGTTTAGAAGGGGTCAGAGAGATGACAATGAGCCATGAACTCAGTGACTCCCTCGCTGCTGCTTGACTAGAAATGCTGCTGTCACCGCCACGGTGTCACAGCGGCACGAGGGAAGGGCATGTCTCTGAAGCCACGTGCATGCCACGATGGGCCATGTCCTGGCGTGGGAGGTCCCCTGAGTTTGACCGTCTCTTCTCCCCACCCCCGGCAGGTCCTCGCAGCTTCCCTCCAAGTACTCCATGACAGTGATGGTCTTCATCATGATGCTCAGCTTCTACTATTTCTCTCGCCATGTGAGTGCCCCTCCCAGGCTCCTTCCTTGGGTCACAGGGACCAAGAGGACACCGGGGCTCTGGCCGTCCTCCCCTACACCCCCGTGTGCACCTTGCCACGTGTAGACTTCCCCACTCTCTCTCCTGGCTCTGGCTTCTTGCATCCGTGTTTGTCCTGCCTCTGGCCTCTGCCCTCCCTCTTGTTTTCACATGTTCCTTGCCCTTCTCTAGCTGCCTTCAAGGGTTTGGAGAGGGCTTCTCCCACCGACTCCCCGGAAAGCGCCCTTTCCCTGCCTGGGCTTGATTGTCTTGGCCTGGAATATCCAGCAGCGCTGAAGCCCTCGGGGCTGGTCTCAGGATGTCTCTTGCCCTCCTCAGAGGGCTTGGGATTATCCCAAGTGCTCCTGGATCTGTTGCCTTTGCACCCATCACCTGCAGGCCTCGAAGTCTCCCGCCTGTGTGACATGCGTCTATGTTGGCATGGGGTGAGGCCCCATGTCGTGTCTAGAACAGGCAGCCGGGACCCCCGGGTTCGGTCCCTGGCTCGCTGTGGTGCTGTGGGGGAGAGAGGTGGCTCAGCTCATCCCTGCAAAGGAGCACATGTTGCACACCCCTTCGCAGGTGGAGAAGCTGGCCAGGACCCTGTTCCTGTGGAAGATCGACGTGCACGACCAGAAGGAGCGGGTGTACGAGATGCGGCGCTGGAACGAGGCGCTGGTCACCAACATGCTGCCGGACCACGTGGCCAGGCACTTCTTGGGCTCCAAGAAGCGGGATGAGGTGAGGAGGCGGGGTGGGGGGCTCAGACTATGCCAGGGATACCCCAGGAAAGGGCTCTGGTGCATGCTGGATTGGCTCGACCTGAGCGAGTGGCAGGTGCCAGGCTTGACCTTTCCAAGAGCAGGGAGCACTGAGCACGCAGCACCTCTTGGCTGGACGCCTCTGGACCCACCCCCAAGGCGCCAGGAGACGAGGGAAGGGAGGTGTCCAGCAGCAGAAAGGGCTTGGGGGTCACCTGGGATGTCCCTTCCCCACCCCTCATCCTTTCACCTCAAATGGGGGCTTGGATGGAGAGAGAGGAGTGCTCTGAGGAGTTCCTGTGTGACCCAGATGCAGGAGACCAGGCAGCCAGCACCCGTGTGCCAGGCACTGGGGACTTGGGCAGATGGAGACGTTACCCTGGGTTAAAAGAGGAAGAGGGCTGACCACGGGGCAGCTGCTCCAGGAAAGCTGTTCGATGTGTCCACTCCTATCCCTGGAAACTGAACCAGGGCAGCTTACCTCTGAATAAGACAGGGCTGAAGCGGCCCGGTTTAGCTCCTGCTCACCGCGGGATAGGAGTGGACACAAGAAACACTTACCACGGAGCAGCTGGCACAGGCCCCGTTTTAATGGGGTGGGATTGTCTGATCTCGCCCTGTCTGGACTCCTTCTCTGCACAGACCATCCCTACCTTTCTCCAGGTTGGCCGTGAGGGTGAGGTTTGGGCTGCGGAAGTGCCTCGGGGAGCTGGGGCTGGTCACCTATAGACTCCTAGAGCAGTGGGGCTGGCGGGGAGCTCCAGAGGTCACGTCTAGTCCAAGCCATCCTGTACGTCCTGTCCTAACCATCCTGTCCTGACATGTTCTCATCTCTTCAGGGCAGGGTGAAGCCAGCTCAGCCTCTTTGCTGCATCTCCTTTCATAGTGAGAGCAAACCCAGCCCCCCAAAAATGGGATTTCCCAGGGGCTGGAGGTTCAAGGGGTGCCAGTTTCTGGGCTGCTGGTGAGGGCAGAACTGCCCTGTGAACCTGGCTGCAAAATGGGGCTCCTGATATCTGCCCCTTGGGGTGGCAGGGGGGTTCAGGAATGGTCCAGGAGAGGTGACAGGGCAGAGCCAAAGGAAGTCTTGGCTGCTTTGTGGGCCCTGGTGCCCTGCCTCCACAAAGTGGGTAATGGGGGGATCAAGCACACCCCCTCCCACAGCCCGTCTCCACCGGAGGAAGGCGGGAATGTGGGTGAGTTTGTGGCTCAGTAGCCCCTGCAGGATCTCGGCGGAGCCGGACTGCAGGCAGCTCGGAGGAGACCCTTTGATGGTAGGGGCAGCAGAGGGGACTGGGTGGGCTCAGCTGCCCCCGGCTAAGCAGAGTGTCCCGGTGCCCGGCCCCGCAGGAGCTGTACAGCCAGTCCTACGACGAGATCGGCGTCATGTTCGCCTCCCTGCCCAACTTCGCTGACTTCTACACGGAGGAGAGCATCAACAACGGCGGCATCGAGTGCCTGCGCTTCCTCAACGAGATCATCTCTGACTTCGACGCGGTGAGGCCGGGCGGGGGCCGTGACGGGCTGAGGGGCCTGGGGCACCTCCCCATGGGGTGCCTGTAGCCTTGTGTCACAGGCTTCGACCAATTTGTCTACCCTCTCGCTCAGCTCCTGGATGAGCCCCAGTTCCGATGCATCACCAAGATCAAAACCATCGGCAGCACCTACATGGCGGCCTCCGGAGTGACCCCTGATGCCAACAGCAATGGCTACAACACCACCAAGGTATGGGGGGCAGGGGCGGATCCAGGGGGGTGCACTGATGCCCTTTGACTCCTGCCGCACCCAACATTTAACATCCACTGCTGGCAGGGGCTGCAGCATTTCTACTCAGGCAGCGGTGCGTTGGTCACTCGACTTCATGACTTGTTATAACCTGCTTGATCCTTTAGACTGTTTCGTTGCACCGGTGTTAACGACCCTCTTTCCTTTGTAATGCTCTTCCAAAATCCCAAGCTAGCCTTTCTTCTGCCATGCTGCTGCCTCTTGGCTGCTCCTGGTAACGGAGCTCCTATTTTGCAGCCCTGCAGGTTGTTTTTAAATCACTCCAACGACGTTATATTTGTTCCTGCTTCAATCAGAAAACGAACAATCCATGTCCACGGCCTATTAGTAAAGCTTCTAGTTTGTTTTTAACTGAAGAAAAATAGGTGTTGTGATCCATGCACCCCATCCTCTGCACCCCCCCCTTTTCAAAATCTGAGATCCACCCTGGGGTGGAGGTAGCGGGGGAGCCAGGGAGACGACCCAGGCTGGTGCTTGGCAGGAAGGGGTGGAGAAGGGGGTTGATGCTGGGAGGTCCCGACTCCGCTTCCCTGACCAGCTGCCCTCTGCTCCCCTTGCAGAAGGAGAACCTGTCAGACAAGGAGCGCTGGCAGCACCTTGCCGACCTGGCGGACTTCGCCTTGGCCATGAAAGTGACCCTGATGAACATCAACTACCAGTCTTTCAACAACTTCATGCTCCGCATAGGCAAGTGCTGCCCCAGGGAGTGGGTGGGGGTGGTGGGACGGCACCCAGCCTTCACTGCAGCCAGCTCCAGGGGCACGGGGCTCTGGCGCGGTAAAAGAAACCGTATGAGACAAAGATGGGGAAGGCAGGCTGCAGGGGCTAGCAAGGAGGGGCCCTGTGAAAGCCTATGCCATTGCGTCCTCGTCGCTACAGTGCTGAGCTTGCTTGGCAAGGCCAGCCCGTATCACAGAAAATGGGGGTTGGACGGGAGCTCAGGAGGTCACATCTAGTCCAACCCCCTGCTCCAAGCAGGACCAGCCCCAACTACATCATCCCAGCCAAGACGGACCGGTTCCGTTTCAGCCGTGTCACCCTAGAGCACCTGCACGTGGCGGCATCACAGGTGTCCTGCGGGGGCCGTGACGGCAATCCTGCATGCGACCATCCTGTGGGAGTGTCACTCAGCACGGGAACCTGGGGGCAGGAGGGCACTGTGCATGCCCCATGCATCCAACAGCTCCAGGCAGGGGTAGATCCAGAGTGGGTGCAGTAGCACAGCTGGAGCCTCCAGAGACTTTTTAAAGCCCTTAAAGGAAAAGAAAATCCCCCTCCCCTCCTTTTCCCTGCCTGCCCCCGTTGCTTCCATGCTGTCCCGGGGGTGTGGGAAGCATCAGAGCTGATCTTGTCTGCCCCAGGAGCCTGGGCTCAGCTGCAGATGGGGATGGCAGTGGTGGGGACGGGCAGGGGGGATCCCTTTCCCTAGGGCAGGCAGAGGGGAGATCTATTCTTTTGTCCAGCCATTGTTGCTGTCCCCAGCCTTGGTGCAGCCCCATCAGGGCAGGCAGCAACAGCTCTGGTGCTCTCCTGGCCCCTGAAACAGCAGGGAAAGCAACAGCAGGTGGAAGCGTGGGGCATTTTCTCCTGCTTTAGGGGCTTAAAAATCATCCCTGGAGGCTCTCAAGGGCGGTTTGCTTGCATTGGTGGGGAAGGAAGCAGGGAGTAAGGGGTGCAGTCACCCCTGCAGTGCAGGTTGCTACTCCTGCACTCCCCCGTAGGAAAACCCTAGATCCAGTCTTGGTTTTGGGTAGGCCCTGCGTCATGGCTGCATCTTCATGTGTTCACGTGCCAGGGTGTGGTGGTTGGTGGTTGGAGGGGTCCCCTTTATATTACGAGTGGTGGTGGTGTGTGCGGACACCCCACGTGCTGATATATTAGCGGGACAAGCCACGGAAGGCCCCAGAGGACAAAAGGAGCAGCTGTCCTTGCGTGGGATCTTTGCAGGCATGAACAAAGGGGCGGTGCTGGCAGGTGTGATCGGCGCACGCAAGCCCCACTACGACATCTGGGGCAACACGGTGAATGTCGCCAGCAGGATGGAGTCAACGGGCGTCATGGGAAACATACAGGTGGGTACACAATGCCCCCTTTTTGAGGGGGAGCCCATGCCAGGCCGCTTTCAGCTCAGTTATACTTGGTGAACCACCAAAAACGGGGGCTTAGGATGGAAACGCTCATACAGCCTTCGCTCCAGAAGCGACAGGTGCTTATAGGCACGGGGAAGAGATTGCACTTTCCCTA